AATAAACCAAAGAAACGTGCTACAAATGAATTATTTTTAATTATAATTATTGAGTGCAACGAAAAAAAAGAATTCAAAATAAATAATTAAAAACAAATAAGCAAACGTGAAACCTAGTGAAAAACTTAAACCAAAAACAAACGAAAAACTAACAAACAAACAGAAAACAGATTATGAATAAAAAATAAACAAATTTCGAATGCCGCCGCCAAGTTGTTCAAAAAACCAAAACAAAACAAAGGTAACAAATTGTTAACTACAAAAATTAAAAAAAAAAAATTCCTGAAATTTTGTAAACACATTTTTTTTCTTGTGGCAATTTTCAAATGTGAAAAGTGTGAAAAGCATTTATCCTGGATTACAAATTATATACATATATATAACATATACCTTGGATTATAGACAACTTATTTTTACCTAGACTTATCTTCATTCTTATTCGCTAAATTTCAAATTTTTTTTTTTAATATTTTTTTTTTTTTTATTTATTTTGTCTGATAGTTTGATAGATTTCCCATCTAATTGAAGCTATTAAAAATTTGAATCGAATTCAAATTTCTTCACTTATTTTATTACTTTATAAAATATTTCAAAAATCTTTTGAGAACTTCACTGAAAAACTTTGCAGACTAGAAGGTCAGAATTATTTAAAATATTGAAATAATCGAAATGTCTCTAGAGTCGCGCCTAAACTCTATATGAAATAATGTTCCTTGTTTCATAATATTACAACCTGCTCTTCAAAATATATGCACAACTTGTATACTTTCAGCTTGAACTAAACCAAAATGTAGTCTTTTCATATCACAATGGATTTACCATCGATAATTATCGATTTCGTAATCAAGTCTCAAAATATAAACTAATTATCTTTTCCTCTAAGTTCATTTAATCTGATAAATGATAGTTAGTCGTCTCTTGGTCAACATATAACTTCATATCGAGCAAGTCTCCAAAATCTACACACAAATCTCTCCACTTTCCAATAAAACTCGTCTTTAATGTCTCCGACTTAATATAAATATTTGTAGAGATTTCATCAATATCCACTTCCTGCTAAAGTCTCCAAAGTGTACACAAATCTCTACATATCTTACTGTAATAAGTGTTCGATTAGTAAAGTCTCCATGTAATTAAAATTTCACCAATTCATTCACTTTGCCTGTTAAGTCTCCAAAAAATATGAAATTATTTCTTCACCTCCAAATGTCGGAGAGAGCTACAAACGGCACACACAGAGAAAGAGAGAGAGAAAGAGAGATGGATTGGGGGCGAACGAGTGTTGGCAGGGGGAGGGGGCGGTTAGGGGCGTGCCTTTATCTCTAATGATTTAGCATGCCGCTGAGTCACGAGCGAAATCGTATTCGAAATCGACCAACCAAAATCGAAGACCAAAGCCTACAAAAAATAAACAACAATAACAGAAGCAACAACAACAACAACAAAATAAACAACAAAACGTTATCGCTGCAAAGTTTTCTTTCAAAAAATGGTCAAATTGTTGTTAGTGTTGTTGTTGTTGCTGTTGTAGTTGCTGCTGCTGCTGCTGCTGTTGAATCGTTGCTCGTCGCCAATCGGAAATCCTAAGCATGGGCAGCAAAGCCAATTGATAACGGTAAATGTTAATGGGGAAATATGAACAGCGAATGGAAATGCAACAAATACAAAGCGCAAAGCGCACGAACCGATAACAAATCAATATACAGAGTGAGCGAGACAGACAAAGAGAGAGAGAGAGAATGAGTAGAAGAGGAAGAGAGAGAGCGCGTGCATATTAGAGATGAGAGCCGGCCTCTCCCACTCCCCCGCTCTACTCCTGCTCCGATTGGAGTTTCTGGCGAAATGCATCCGTTTACATTTGGCAGCTGCAAGCAGCAAAGGAAAACAAAACTGAAAACTGTTTTGCCAGCGTCTCAATTAACCAATTCGCCGTAGCTTCACTTCTGCTCTCACCCCACCCCCCTCCATGCATCGTTTAATCAGCTGTTCAGCTGAAATCGAGACACAATCTGTGCCCAGATTTCCTATTGAATTGAACGGGTAATCCAATCGGTATACAAGGCATTTAAGTCCAACTCGTTTTTCCAACTAGCATGCATTGCAGAATGCCACGAATCCAATAAGACTTTGAGCAATGCCTAAGCACACTTTCCAGCAAAGTTTCCTGTGAAAATTCAAATGAAGAAAGCATCGGGGTAGACTTGGCGTCAAGCTGAATGTATTAAATGAGACATGGACTTATTTCCTCTGATAACTGTAATTATATCGATACTTATCGTCATGTTAGGATGCGTGTCAGATTCCTACCTTAGCATGGCTAATGTCTCATTTATGTTAGAGTCAAACTTAACCTAACTGGCAAAGCTCATGGTAAAGCATTGATTGAGCTTGCCTAAATCTGCCTCATGTTGCTTTAACATTTGATTAAACACTCGGCTTTTTTTATGTATGCTAAATCTAAACTCCATATTAAGCAACTTGACAAAGCTAATGTTAACGGTTGGTCCTTATTGCGTTAAGATTCTACTAGATTAAACTCGTGTCAATGCGTGCTAGCTTAAGGAAAAGGCACAAGGAATACGTTAAGAGCAGATTTAGCATAAGAATTTGGCTACAGTCCCTTACGAATGAAGCGAAGTAACTCTAGTCAAACTCTCATGTCAAACCTCCTGTTAGCGTAATACGCATAGGAAGTAAAGAGAAGGGAAGAGAAGAGAAGGCAGCGAAGCGAGCACGACATTTCTATAGTCTATATAATTAGTTGATTTATTTTACCTATGGAAACTTCTAATAAACCTCATGGCAAGGCTCATGCCTAAGCCCAGCTCGAGACTCATGTGAATGTTATATTTGAGTCTGGGGCGCATCTAAGTGTCAAGGCTAATGTTGATTGACCTTTTTGATTCCATTTCTTCTTGCAGCAGCTAATCACAGCAGACAAGCAGCAGCCGTTTACGATCTCAATTAGCCAACTTTTGCAGCGACAGCAGCAGCGAAAATGCTGGCCACACAGCAGCAACAGCAGCAGCAGCCACCACAGCAACATGCAGCAGCAACAGCAGCGGCAGCAGCAGCATTGACGCTTGAGGATGCGGTCATGGAGCGACAACGTCGCGACTCCAGCACCTCAGAGTCATCGCTGGAGCATCTGGATCTGGGCCGCACGCCAAAGAAGCTGAGCAGCAACAGCGGCGCGCTGCAGCCGACGTCGACGCCGAACGTTGAGGCGTCTTCGCGGAAGCGCAAGATGCGACAGCAGCAGCAGCAGCAGACATTCGTATGCTCTGATGAGGAGGACGAACAGCAGCAGCAGCAGCAGCAGCAACAGCAGCAGCAGCAACAGTTGCTGGAGCAGTCGGCGCATCGCATGCGCCACAAGCAGCGCCGCAGCGGCAATGCAGCCGCGGCCGCTGCCAGCGCCAGCATCGTCGTCGACTACAGCGTCGGCAGCGACGCCAGCTCGCTGCGCAAAAAGTTTCGCCTGAATCGCAGCAGCATCAGCGCCCACAACGGCGACCTGTCCGAGTCGGGCTTCGTCGATGGCAGCGCGCACAGCGGCTATTTGCTCAGCGCCAGCGCCGCAGCGCAGTCGGCAACGGCCGCGCAGCAGCAGCAGCAGCAGCAGCAACCGCAGCAGCAGCAGCCGGGCTCGGGCAGCAGCTCGGGCGGCTCCTCGCCGCAGGGCCTGTGCCATTCGAGCGCCGAGTCCGGCATCAGCGCCGGCGACGAGCACATGAAATATGTCTGCCCCATCTGCGAGGTCGTCTCGGCCACGCCCCACGAGTTCACCAATCACATTCGATGCCACAACTATGCCAACGGCGACACCGAGAACTTCACCTGCCGCATCTGCTCCAAGGTAAGTCTAGTTTACAGGGTATTCAGCTAGCTATGGGTATATATGCTATGAGTCGTATAGAACTGAGAGTAGTGCAGGGTATTTTATTGTCCATTACTGCTTGAAAGGCACTTACAGGGTATCAGATAAAGTACAGGGAAATGAATTTCACAAAATATAAAGTTAAATTAGCTGAACATAAAAAATATGCAAATACAGGGTATCTAAACTACTACAAAAATAAACTGTAATGCCAGTTACACGCTGAAACATATTAAGGGGTATATAAAATATTATGAAGTTATTGCAAACTACATTCTACATTTTTGGTCATTACAGGGTATCTGAGAGCTGTAAACAAGCTGTAATGTTTATTTAGACAATTAGAGGGTATATAAATTAATATAAATCATATGCAATCTAAAGCTGTTATTAGCAAATTACAGGTATACCGTATTACAGGGTATCTATAAATTGTCAATAAGTTTATTATTTGAGTATTTAGCCAATTAGAGGGCATACTTCACTGCAGGGTATTCTTATGGCATGAATTAGCTAGACACTTAAAAGGTTTTCAAGAACTAGAAGCTATATACTGCAAACATTAGACAATTACAGGGTATAACGTATTACAGGGTAACTGAAAATTGTAATTTGAGCAGCTAAATATAGACATTTTGAGCTACTATAAACTCTATGCAAGTTATATTGGTGTTTATTGACTAATTAGAGAATGCTGCATATTGTAGGGTATTTTCGAGTCGTACACTGCCCATGGGGTACATACATAAGTAACAATAAACTACACGCAAACTATAAGCGACTTGTTGCAAGTCAATTACAGGGTATGCCAAATAGTTGTGCATGCGTATTGGCATTACAGGGTATTTTGAAAGTCGACTAAGCTAGCTCAAGTCTAGCTTCAATCTCCAATAAAATTTATTTTGCTTGGGCTTTACGTAATTTTTCTCTTGACTAACTCTTTCAACCCTTGTTCTCTCCCTTCCTCTTCCACTCTCTCTCTCTCTCTCTCTCTCTCTCTCTTTCGTTCTCTCTTCCGCTCTGTTATAGGTACTCTCGTCAGCCTCCTCGCTGGACAGACACGTCCTGGTGCACACCGGGGAGCGGCCCTTCAACTGTCGCTACTGCCACTTGACCTTCACGACAAATGGCAACATGCATCGCCACATGCGAACACACAAGCAACATCAGCAACATCAGCAACATCAGCAGCAGCAACAGCAGCAGCAGCAGCAGCAGCAGCAGCCACAGCAACAGCAGCAGCAACAGCAGCCACAGCAGCAGCAACAGTTGCAGCGACATAAGCAACATTCGGCAGCCAATCAGCGTGCCGAGAGCTATGAAAGCGATGCCAGTTGCTCCACGGATATATCCAGCAGCAGCAGCAGCGCAGCCAGCAACAACAACAACAACAACAACAACAACAGTAGCCAAGCGAACAACAACAACAACAATGAGGAGCAGCGACTGAAGCTAAAGACAAACATCAACAACAACAACATCATAGTCAGCGACGAGCGAGCGCTGGACACAGACGCCGATGGCGAGGGGGAGAGGGATGCGGATGGGGATGGGGATGGGGATGGAGAGGAGGCCGGCGATGGGGAGAGCGTGGATGTGACACAGATGATAACGAGCACACCGGACGTGGCCACATTGCTGGCGACGTCGTCGGGCAACAGCAGCCCGAGGACGCTGGAGCCCGAGCTGGAGGCGCTGCCCAGCTGCCCTGCCTGCAATGCCGGCGAGTTTCAGACGCTGGCCGCGCTGTACGCCCACTTGGAGGCGGAGCACGCCGATATACCCGCCAAGTGTCGCGAGTGCGAGGTGATCTTTGCCACGCAGCGGCAGCTGCAGGCGCACAGCTGTCGGGGATTGCAGTTGCCGCCGCTGCTGGGCGCCAGCTCGTCGCCGCTGCACAAGCAGGAGCCGGCTGAGGAGGAGGAGGAGGAGATGCGGCTGCAGGCGAACAGCGAGCGGGACGAGTTCTTTCAGCAGCTCTACCTCAAGGGCAAGTCGAGCGGCTCCTCGCTGCCGTCGCCCATCAAGCACGAGCCGTCGGAGCAGCGCCAGGACCTGGCCGACATACAGAGCATCCTGCACATGACCAGCTCCAGCTGCACGTCCAGTTTCCTGCGCAACTTCGAGCAGAACGTCAACACGCCCTGCTCCAGCCAGTACAGTCTGGATGGGCGCGACGGCGAGGAGGAGGCCCAGGACGCCTTCACCAGCGAGTTCCGGCGCATGAAGCTGCGCGGCGAGTTCCCCTGCAAGCTCTGCTCCGCCGTCTTTCCCAATCTGCGCGCCCTCAAGGGCCACAATCGCGTCCACCTCGCAGCCGTCGGCGCCGCCGGCCCCTTCCGCTGCAACATGTGCCCCTACGCCGTCTGCGACAAGGCGGCTCTGGTGCGGCACATGCGCACCCACAACGGCGACCGGCCGTACGAGTGCGCCGTCTGCAACTACGCCTTCACCACGAAGGCCAACTGCGAGCGCCACCTGCGCAATCGGCACGGCAAGACGAGCCGCGAGGAGGTGAAGCGCGCGATCGTCTATCACCCGGCCGAGGATGCCAGCTGCGAGGACATCAAGCCCAAGATGGATCCCGATCTGTCGGAGCTCAGCTTTCGCTCGCTCAGTCCGTCGCCCTCGACGACCAATGTGGAGGCGAGCTCCCAGCTGAAGCACATGTTGCTGGCAGAGCAGCCCAGCAAGCAGCAGCAGCACCAGCAGCAGCAACAGCAGCAACAGCAACAGCAGCAGCAGCCGTCGCAGCCTCCGTTGAAGATTCAAGTGAAGAGCTTGGATCAGCTGGTGGAGAAGCCGCTGGCACCTGCCATGGATCTCAGCATGGATGTGCTGGATCTCAGCAAGAAGCCGCAACGCGAACATGACCTACTCGTGCAGCAGCAGCAGCAGCAGCAGCAGCAGCAACAGCAGCAGCAGCAACAGTTGCTCTTCAATCCGGGCGATGCAGCGACGCAGTATATGCAGCTGCTGCGCAACCTGATGCTGCAGCAGTCGTCCGGGTTTCCGTTCTTTGGGCTGATGGCGCCACCGCCGGCGGCTGCGCTGGAGAAGTCAGCGCCAGCGATTGCAGTGCCAGCGACGCCGGCAACAGTTGCTGCCGTGCCGCAGCCTTTGGGCCTGCCCCTGCCCGGCATGGGCGTGCCGGTGCCAGCGGCCGGGCCCGTCAAGATGGTGATCAAGAACGGCGTGCTGATGCCCAAGCAGAAGCAGCGCCGCTACCGCACCGAGCGCCCCTTCGCCTGCGAGCACTGCTCGGCCAGGTTCACGCTGCGCTCCAACATGGAGCGCCACGTCAAGCAGCAGCATCCGCAGTTCTATGCGCAGCGACAGCGCAGCGGCCACCACGTGATGCGCGGCCGGGCGGCCAACTCGGGTGCGGCGCAGGCAGCGGCAGCCGCGGCAGCAGCGGCGGCGGCAGCAGCAGCAGCCGCAGCAGCCATGACCAATCTGCACCAGCAGCAGCAGCAACAGCAGCAGCAGCAGCATCCGCCCATATCGGAGCAGGTGAAGTACGCGATCTTGGCGCAGCAGTTGGCGCGCAAGGATACGGACTTGCTGCAGCAGGCGCTGGCCCATGGCTCCAGCAGCGTCGCCGTCAATCCCTTGCTGCACTTTGGCTACAACAACAGCAGCAGCAGCAGCAGCAATGGTAACGGTGGCAACGGCAACGGTGGCAGCAGCAACAGCAATGCCAATGGCAGCAATCAGGCGCAGCAGCAGCAACAGTTGCCCGTGGATGATGATGAGCCGCCGAAGCTGATCATAGACGAGGACGATGACGATGATTTCGAAGACATAGACGAGGAGGAGGAGGAGGAGGAGGACGAAGAGCTAGACCAAGACGAACAGCAGCAGCAGCAGCAGCAGCAGCTGCAGCAGGAGCAGCAACACGAGCAGCAGCCACAGCGCGTGGAGCAAGTGCAGCCAATCGAAATTGATGCCAAAGAGGAGCCAGAGCCGCTCGCCGAGCCGGCCGAGTCGGCCGAGTCAAAGCCCAGTGGCGAGCCGAGCACAATGAAGACAATGATCGCCCAGGCCGAGTCGGTGGCCAAGTCCCTGAAGGAGGTGGCCAGCTCGCCGTTCAAGGATGAATCTCAGGATCTGGTGCCGGTAGCGAAGCTGGTGGACAATGCCACCAGCAACCAGGTGTCGTTCAACAGCTACTTCCGGCCCAGCGACGTGGCCAACCATATGGAGCAGAGCGACGAGGAGGGCCTCGTCGCCTCCGGCAGCGCCAGCGAGAGCAACAACTCCGGCACCGAGGACGTCACCAGCAGCAGCAGCTGCAGTGAGCCGAAGAAGAAGTCCGCCTACAGCCTGGCGCCCAATCGCGTCAGCTGCCCGTACTGCCAGCGCATGTTCCCCTGGAGCAGCTCGCTGCGCCGCCACATTCTCACCCACACGGGCCAGAAGCCGTTCAAGTGCTCCCACTGCCCGCTGCTGTTCACCACGAAGAGCAACTGCGACCGGCACCTGCTGCGCAAGCACGGCAACGTCGAGTCCGCCATGTCCGTCTACGTGCCCACCGAGGACGTCAGCGAGCCGATACCCGTGCCCAAGTCCGTCGAGGAGATCGAGCTGGAGGAGCAGCGCCGCCGCAAGGCCGCCGAGCAGGAGCGCCAGCTGGAGCTGGAGCGCGAGCGGGAGCGCGAACGCGAACTGGAGCGGGAGCGTGAGCTGGAGCGCGAGCGCAAGCAGCAGCAGCTCATCCAGCAGCTAACGGCGGCGGCTCAGCTCAGCCAGCAAATGGTGGCCGCCGCTCAGGCAGCTCAGGCAGCTCAGGTCGCTGCCGCCGCAGCAGCCACCAGCAGCGGCGCCGTCGCCGAGGCCAATGGCAGCGAGCTGCCGTACAAGTGTCACCTGTGCGAGTACTCGTTCGGCGAGCGGATGCAGTGCCTGGATCACATCAAGCAGCAGCACGCCCAGGAGTTTGCGCTGCTGCTGGCCAAGGGCGCCATCGAGACGGAGCAGGAGGTGGCAGCCACAGCAGCCACAGCCACAGCAGCAGCAGCCACAGCGAATGCTGCCTCTGCTGCCGTCTCGGAGGACGAGTCCAGCACGGGACGCAGCTCTGGCAAATATCCGGACTACAGCAATCGCAAGGTGATCTGCGCCTTCTGCGTGCGTCGCTTCTGGTCCACGGAGGATCTGCGCCGTCACATGCGCACCCACTCGGGCGAGCGTCCGTTCCAGTGCGACATCTGCTTGCGCAAGTTCACGCTCAAGCACAGCATGCTCCGGCACATGAAGAAGCACAGCGGACATAGCCACAATGGCGAGCCGGGCGCCTCCGATTGCTCCGACGATGAGCAAATGGCCACGCCGCCCACAACACCAACGCCCGCGGCCATGCCCATGCCCATGCCCATGCCAATGCCCAGCAACAACAACAACAACAACAACAACACTTGCCACAACAACAACAACAACAGCAAGAGCGTACGTCTGCCCAAGCTGCACGAGCTGCTGGACAAGGCGAACGAGTGGCGCGTCAGTCGCCTGGGCGAGCACAAGGAAAACATTGCCGAATCCTCAGCGCCCGCAACAGCAGCCGCTGTGGGCGTGGCCAGCGGTGATTTCCTGGGCAATCTGCTGGGCATCACCGACCAGGGCATACTCAACAAGCTGCTCAGCTCGCCCGACGAGGCGGCCAAGCTGCTGGGCGTCGAGAAGTGAAGAGGCCCCGAGGGGGGACTGCAAGCTCGATAAAGGCAAAAGGTCAACAAGGTCAACAAGGACAAAAGATGCCAACAAAGACGTAAGGGTCGCATAGACCGAATGGGAAGTTCACAAACAATTAATTCACAATAGAAAACAAAAACAAGTTGAAAGGGAGTTAGGGCAAAAGCCTCTAAGCCAGCTCAGTAGTCCTAGTCTAGTAACAAAAACAAAAACAAAAACAAAAAAACTAAAGCTAAAAAAAAAAAAAAAAACAAAAAGCTTAGACAAGATATTCATATCTATAGTTACATATATGTATATCTATATATATCTGAGTTTGATTTCAAAAACATGCAAAAGAAAAAAAAAGATTTATTTTTGAAAAGTTCAAAATTAATTTTTTTTTAATTTTTATTCAAACACAATATATAAATTCAAATCAAACTTACATATATATGCACA